TATGCTTCATTACACCATGTCCATATCAACTTCCATCGTCTAGTATCAGCTGATTTCAGGATAAACATGCACACTTTGTCATCAATGTTTTAACTTGCTTTGTTGCTTTACTCGATGACCTCCTAACATGTCTACTACATGTTAAATGGCTATCAGGAATTCAAACTCAATCCTAATGCAAAGGGTTTCACCCCATCACAAACAACCGTTAGGCCTCCATCACCAGTATCAGATGGTTCCTTCTATTAACCACCCAGCGTGTCTCCTGTAGCGCGTATGCATGGCATGCCTGTTGATTTTGGGGTAAGTGTTTCTATACAAGTATACAACTAGGTTGTCACAACTCACAACACTTTTTTTCTCCCTCATATTTTTTATTGGATATATAATTCTGTCAGTCTGTCAGCCATGCTTGTGGATTGGGCTTTTATTTAATTTAAAAATATTTTCCTTATAATTTTAGAAAATCATCTTTTTTGAGGTACACTTTGATGGTGACATTTTAGATCAATTGTTGCTGCTTTCTTGTGCGACAGTTGTTCTCAGTATTGTCGGTTTCTTGCGTACATTTCTTTCTCCCTCTTGGATTATCACACACAGTAGCACACCTTTACTGCATTTGATACTATTTCAAGTGGCATTCATGTTTTGTCTTTTGCAAGTTTGCCACCTACCTTTGTTGCTGTGATTCTATAGTAGGTCCTGTTTGCCCATCTAGACGACCCTACTGATGAAATAAGCACACCATGAAGTATAGGATGCCCTTTTGCTCTTCCATTTAAATTTAACAATATAGTTAAATGGCTGTCTGAGGGGTTCAATTGAGGTTGATTAGACCCTTTTTAACTAAATTTTCTATGTAAGGTTGATAAGACTTTGGGTGAGAAGGAGCAACACTGGCTCAATCCATGTTTGTCTCAGGACTCATTTCAGACTGAACCAATTTTCTGGGCTAATAGAATAGCCAGTCCATTCTGTTTATTTCCGATGTTTTAGGAGGCATAGCCACCCTTCTGGATAGACTTAAATAGGTCCATTGTGATACATGGTATGCATCATGGTTTTGGAGGTTCAAGCTTGACTCTGCAATATTTATATGTTAGTGTATTGTGATAATACAGTAAAGCCATTGGTGTATGTTCTTAAATATGAGATTTTATTTTGTTCCAATAAAATGAGTTGCATTATCTGGGGTCTCGTTTTATTTCTACTTGCTTGTGGTTACTGGCGATGCATGGTATTTGCAGATTGGACCATCATTTGCTGCACACCAGCCTGTTATATTTAATCTGACAGTGGCACCAATACAGTCACCACACGCAAGGTTTCATCCAAATGGACCTCAGGTAGAACCTGATTGCTGACTTTGCTATCATTATTTGGGTATCTTTACCTGTGCGATATCAATAAAACCATTTTTAAGGTGCTGAGTTTTGACGTGAGCTCACCACTGCAGTGATTCTTATTGTTCATCCAAAAAGAGATCCAGGAAATTGAAGGAAATTTGATATAAACTCGAAGAATCCACTCTAACATCCACAGTACTTTTCTCCTGAGCTTCTCTGTAGCTTTCTTATCATTAATCGGTATGTCGCTTCCAGCTGTTAAAAAGTCATCGATGATGTTATAAAGTCAACAATAACTCCAAG